TTAAATATTCTTCCATATAGCAATTATGCACTATGTGTTGGTATACAACATAAAGTCTGAACAAAATACATTCAAGACAAAACAGTGCTATTAATTTAGACTTTTTAAATAAAAATGTTTAAGGCATTTAGCACCACAGTGCTAAACTTTAGACAAACTTCTTTCCCCCTCTGCTTCATGTGGAGTCTTCTCAAAGCATTAACCCAAATCTCTGAATATAATTAAATGCTACATTAGTAGCTCCTATTATATTGGAGATTTTCCCACTTGGAAGCTGTTGCTCATGGTTCTCTGAATACCTCATTCTGTGCTATAATTGTCCCTCAAATAGTCATATTTTCTTTTCTTTCTTTTTCTCAGCCTGTGGTTAACATTGTCCAATACACAGCTGCATAAAAACAGTGTCTGGAAATGACTGATTTATGACACATTCAGGATGAAATGACTTCCATTTGCCTGTTAACATATTGACTGACTTCCTTAGAAGCATGAAACAATGCCGACATGAAAGAAAACAGGATGACACCTGACAGCCTTGGAACAAAACCGTGTCTGAGACAAAAATACGCCGTGGAGGTGTAAACAGGATTCCACCTGTCTGTAATGCAACACAATGTTGCGAGATAATACCAATCACCTTATAAGGTAAGCAGTCTTCTGCTTAAAGCACAAGCAGTTCCTATTTGTCAGATCTTCTGTATTAGCTCTAGATGTTTGAGGCTCTCGTGGGACGTCAGCGCTAATTAATGACAGGAAGGCAGCGTTTGGGTGTCAAATACTGCCTTATCCTGTTTGGGCTGTCCAGGTGGTCCATCCTGATTCGTAGCATATTATATAATTTCCCTGAGTCTTCCTGGCCTCAGCCATTAGAATCAACATGAGCTGATTCATACAATTTGTTTGTGACATCGTGACTGAACACTTGAGCTGTTAATGACGTCCTTCAAAGTCTCCGCGCTCCCCTTAAAGACCTCACTGTGAAGAAACCAAAGTTGACCAGGCAATGATGAATGAACATCATTAATGTTGTTCATCTGTTTACCTTTACACTGCAGGCCTGGAAAATTAGGGGTCAACAGCAAAAGGGAAATGTTGCTTACAACTGGACTCCAATTTCTGAGAGCCACCCTACACTTGGAGACTCTGGATGGCCTTATTTGTTCAGCCTGCTGGTCTTTCCTTAAAACTTTTTGTTGTTGTTCTTTAAATCTTTAAATTTGTGCACAATAAATTTCATAAGGAATTTCAGTTTTTCTTCCCTTCTGACGCCAAACAAGGAGTCATGTGACCAATACCGTCAAGCTTCCTGATTAAAGGAACTTCATTGGTCTAATGAAGCTCCTCTAAATCTAACAACCTGGGGATCCATTTATTCCCCTCCCCCACCAACGTAGGATGAGCCCACATTATTGCTAGGCCCATGTTTGTTTGTCTTATCTGCATGCATTTATAGAGCAAACAATTTGGGAGATCTTATTAGACCCTATCAGCTGGAGCAGCTTTAAAAATACAGATAGATCGCAGAGCAGATGGGCAAACAGCATGCGTGTTTCCTGCAGGAGGGAGAATTCACAGCTTTTGGCTGTGTTATTTCAAATATCATTAAAATAACTAAATTCATTACAGAAACACCTGAATTATTCCAGTAATTTAATAGAAAGAAGACACATACATATAGATTTCAATGATTAGCTCACAGCTGATGTGAATCAAAGTCTTGTATTGTACAAAATCGAGAAAGAAAGTTTGATTAAATTGGTTATTCAGGCAGCTCTATCCCACCATGTTAATGGAAAGTTGAGCGAAAAGAAAAAGTTTGATAGACAAAAGTTGCACAAGTAACAGGAATAACTACAGCTTTGGCCAGATTGTGAAACAAAACTCTTTCAATAATCTGGGCATATGCAGAGAATCTTGGACTGCAGCTGAAGCCAGAGCCTCCACGTACAAGCACATCCAAAACATGAGTTTCAACTGTCTCACTCCCTGTGGTAAGCCACTTCTGAACCAGAAAGGTTCACGAAACATCAGGAGCGTCTTACCTGGGCTAATGTGAACCAAGGTTCACTTTAATGATTAGTGAACCAAAGTTCTCTAATCAGATAAACTCATATTTTGTATTAATTAAAAAGTCAAGATAACAGAGTCCGGGTTGAGTGGAGAGACACAGAATCAAAGTTGCATAAGGTCCAGTGTGAAATCAGAGAAGGTTTGGGGGGCTCTGTTATCTTCTGCCTTTGGTTCACTGTGATTTATCAAGTTCAAAGTCAAGGCAGCGGTCTTCTAGGAATTATTAGAGCACTTTATGCTTCCATCTGCTGATAAGCTTTATGGAGACACTAATTTAACTTTCTGACAGGACTTGGCACCTGGTCATCCTGTCCATAGTAACAATACCTTCGTTAATAGCCATGGTATTGATGTGTTTTTCTTTGGTCAACAAAATCATCTAACCTAATGGAGAGTATTGTCAAAAGAGGAGAAACTCCAAACCCAACAATGCAGGTGACTTGATGGTTGCACTAAAAGCAACCTGAGCTTCTTTAGCATCTCAGCAGAGTTACAGGCCAATCATCTCCATAGCACACTGCATTTACGCAGATAAGAATGATAAAAACATAATCATTTCTAATGGGAAAGAAATATGTGACCACCCTTATTTTCTGTAAAAGTCACAGTTCAATTCAATTCAATATTCTGTTTATTTATATATATGCCATTTGACAAAGTGGAGAAACTCTCCTTTAACAAGAAGTAACATCCAGCAGAAACTGGATCAGTATGAGCGGCCATCTGTCATGACCAGCTGGAGCTCTGGGAAAACGGAGCAGAAACACAAAAAAGAAACAGAAGAACCGATACAGTTAAAATGTAAAGTGAAAGTACAAAGTTAAAAGCAGGAGGACACACTTCATTGTGGGCAGCAGTATCTCAGCCGATGCCCTCCTCCAGGGAGGCGCCACCGCTACACAGAACGCCAGACCATAAAGTTAACAGTGGAAAGAACAGCAAACAATGAAAGTTGCAGAGTAGTAGAAGAAGAAAGTGAGGAAAAGTGGTCACTTTGTCTTCCAGCAGCCTAAGCCTATAGCAGCGTTACATAGATAGTCTAGAGTCTGTTGGTTGCACCTGCAGAACTGTTGTAGCAATTACACAAAGACAAAAGACTGATACAGGTTGGAAACTTTCTTTAGTGACACACTTTGAGGAATGCATAGCAGGGAAAATCTTAAATGAGACAATCACACTTTCTTCAATAATCCGCTTTTTCTGCTCCTTGAATTTTGTGCCCAGTAGAGCTACAGGTATGCTGTGAAGTCACAGCATACCTGAAATGTCTTAGATGATCTCCAACTCCCAGTAATGACTAAAGCTCTGGCGAAACTGAGAAAGGAGTGGGGGTGTTCCAGTGTCTGAGATGTTTAGAAACGCCACGCTCCTGACTGTGGTCTGTTCAATAGCAAAGGGCCGTGCAGCTATTCAGAGCTGCTGAAGGAATGTGTGGAAGCCCACAAGGAATCCTCTGCTTGCAGGGTTTCTGCAAACACAGAAAGTCTCAAACAGAAGAGCAACGGGATGTGTGAACAGTATGAAATCTACCCCTCTTTCTTAGCTAACCTGACTAAACACTAAAGCCACATAGGGAAGTCTCTTTTCACCCTGGAGCTTGCAATGAGTATACCACACTTGTTAGCAGTGGAAAAAGATCTCTAAATGTTTACCCTCCCTTAATAGCTCTTACAGAACATCTAAAGGACTCAAAGGTTGGCCCTCAAACAGACTAACTAAATAACTGCAGAGTTATGTTTTTTACTAACTTGTGGGTTTATGTTGTTGCACCATGAATTGAGCATTTTTAGCCAAACATTGTGACCAAGAAGAGACTACAAGGAATGCATCATTGTTCACAGACCAGCATTAATGCACCACTAAATTTATTAAAGTGATTTTTAGCGAACTACTGATACTTTTGGAGAAATGCTTTAAAATATTTTTGGTTAAAAAACACACACACACACACACACACACACAAAAAAAAGCAAGCCAGAGACCTTCCAAAATACAAATACAGTTTGTAAAAAAGAGAGGAGTGTTATGAAAAAATAATATCTGTCTAAAAAGACTGTTGATTCTAATTAGGATCCAGACCTTCTCATGGGCATTTGATACACAGATATTAAATTTTTTTTCACACAAACTCTGTTACACCCCAGAAGATTTGAAAATATCTTGTTAAAGGCTTGGAATAGTGACAGTTTTCAAATGAATAGATAAATTAGAATTGCACAGCAAAAAAGTCTGTTTTTGCCTTTGGATAAGAGCTTTGATTATATGAGAAGCTCACATACAGAGGAGTAAGGTTCTAGAGCCCACTACCCTCCATGAATTTGACGTAGCCCGATTTCAACACACAGATTTCAAGGTGACTGAAATTGGTTCCAATATGGCCACCCCCTGTTTGATTATGAAACCTGAAAACTGCACAAGGATCTGATCAGATGCTGGTGCACTTGTAACCAAGAAGGTGATTAATTGAATTTCTCTGGGTATTCCTGCTTCTTCCATACTCCAAAAACCAAAGTTTTATGTTATAGTTGACTACTCTAAAGGATATGACTCCCTGAATGGGTGGAGTGGGTATAAAATGTATCAAAATGTTAATTTTCAAGTAACCTTTTTCATAATCAAGGTAATGATATGTTTGTTTTGACACTTTTTTGAAAGCTTTATTCACTTTAGCCCATTTTTTGTTGTTGAAAACCTAATCAAATATGTTGGATCAAATTCATTGTGTTCAATCAACCCAAGTAACTCATCAGGATATTTGAGTCAGAACGCAAAATAACCCAGAATACGCAGTTATTGGTGAGCAGTCTGTACAGTAAATCCAATGCGCATCACTACACGTAAAAAAAATGTTGCAGTGATGGTATAAATGAGCCGGCTGTGGCTGAAAGATGCTGCAAAGGACACAGAGGCAGGACAGGGAAGGGGAGGAGATTTAAATGTCCAGTAAAAAGGTGGTGCGGGGAAATTAGACTGAAGTGTTTCTTTCAGCCGGCTGGAGCTCAGAGCGGGACCAGAAACTGAAACTTTCAGTCAAAACTTACTATTTGCTTCCGGAGCGGCTCTTCTTTTAAAAAGACTTTGGACTGACTCATATCATTTTTTTTTTTTTTCACTTTGCTCGGGGATTTTTTTTTTTTTTTTTTTTCCTTTTTTTTCGTCCTTTCACATTTTGACTCGCAGCTTGAACCACTTTATAGATATGTTTTATCTCTTTAAGCTCTGGCTTTAAGTGCAGATCCTAAGGGATTGAATCGCTTTAAACTCTAGCACTTTCTCCGGGTCCCTGGGGCCTTTTTTCATTAGTGAGCGAAAACTTCATCAGGTTACACGCCGGCAGAAGCGGAGCTACGTGACTTTTCTCACTCTCACAGCTCGAACTGGGAGCAGATGACTCGGGAAATCCCGTTCAGCATAATTTTTCTAACCTGACTGACCACGCCTTTTTATTATATTATTCCCTTCAGTTTATTAATTTCTAAACTTGAGTGAAAGTGAGCGCCTGGCCACGTCAATCTCTCTCTGTGCGCAAACACCGCGAAATGACACCGAGTTTTGTTCTCGGCTGTGTGGTGGCGCTTTACCTGCTCCTCTCACCTGTACAGGTATGCTGTTTCACACTTCACACACACACATTTTTTTTTTTTTTTACCTTTTAAGTGTATAGTTTGTGAAACATGTTTTCTTTTGCTCATAATTTGTGAATTGACTCTCCTTTCACATTTATATGAACAAAATTAGAAACTTATTCATTTATATATATATATATATATATATATATATATATATGGATATTTTAGTCTAGTTTTGCTTAAAATGTGAATATGACATGAGTAAGTTAGTGATGACCAGAGCCGGTCCAAGTTTTAAGAGGCCCTTAGTAGAACTACATTTTGGTGCCCACTTTAAATTAAGCATACCAGCACATCACTGACCTTTTTTACTAGATGTGCTACTGTTGTGCTTGATTTTTCAGTTTTTGATCATATCGCCTAATTGGTAATTGCAGTCAGGGCTGAGCCATCCCCACTCACGTTGTTGTTTTTTTTCTTTCTTTGCTATCACTGGCTACAGTTTTGAAAATTTGCGATAAGATAAAGTAAACATACCAAGGAGAGTTTTTTTTTTTTTTCATTCCTGATACCAAATTAGCCTGGGGCTTATTGTTGAAGTTTTGGTCTGAGAATACCATGTTTAATTTACACTGGCACCAGAAAGTATTCATAGCCCTTAATTATTTCCATATTATATTATATTATATTATATTATATTATATTATATTATATTATATTATATTATATTATATTATATCTACACAAAACTGCCAATATGACACTTAGCGTAGTATCCTGGATTCTGCAACTTGATTTTAACTTGCTTGTGGTGAGTTAAAATCACTGACTATTGTTTTGGAATCAAACTCTATAGAGTCTCACAGCTGATACCAACCAGTAAAGTCAAAACAATTGTCTGTAGGTCTCTGTCAAAATACTAATCTGGATGAGGAGACATTAAACTTTTGACAGTGTTGAACATCCTCAGAATCACTTTGGTTTCTGTTATTTGGAAATAGGAAAAGCTTAACACCACCATGAGCCTCCTGAGATCTGACTTCCCAACCAAACTGAGCAATCAGGGAAAAGGGGCTTTGGTCAAAAGGATGACCAGAGCCTTATTATTGGTTAATAAAGTGGAGTTCCAATGTTCCGTTGTGGAGATAGAAGAACTGCTTCAAAGGTCAACAATTGCTATCCCTTCGACCAATCAGGCCTTTATGGTAGCCACCTTAGGGATTGCCAGATCAGAAGAAATAAAATTGTCTGGCTTTGCTGAAACCAAAGTATTTCTTTTTACTGCAGCTCAAACCATGTTTTAAGAAACATGGGTTTTCCTTATCCCCTGGCAAACCTCACCCTCACTGTGAAGCATGGTGGTAGCAGCAACATGCTGTGGGGATTGGCAGCCAGATATAGAGATATTCTTAAAGGTAAAATCCTACACTAGGGTGCTATGAACCTCAGACAAAGGTGACCACTCATCTTTCAACATGACAAAGACTCAAAGCACACGATCATGACAACAAAGAGTTGCCTTTAGAGAATGCTGCCAGAATTAAAACTCAAATCCAATTGAACATATCTGGAAAGGCCTTAAAAAAACCTATTTGCTCCACATCAAACCTGACTCAACTTGAGAGGATTTGTAGAGAAGAATGACTCTTCGATCACTTCAATGGCAGACTTTTAGCTGCCATTGCTGCCAAAGATGCTACAATTAAGTATTAGCCCAATATTGTGATTACTTAATCTTGAAATATTCTATACTAAATCCTAAATCTAGTTTAGAATATTGTCTGTAACATAAAATAAAAAAAATGAAGAAGTGTGAATACCATCTGGTGAGATTGTACCTGAAGATGAGAAGATTGTTTTAAGTTAGCCAAATGTTATGTTACATATCTATTTTCCAACAGCTTACCTGATATGATATGTTATGCACATGTTAAATAGGATCTTCAGGCTACATAAAAGTATTATTACAGGTTACTTTACTGACCTTGTAGTTCTTATTTTGATGCCATACACATATTCAAGGTACTTTTCATATTAAATGGGTGTTTGCAACTTGTTTGCAAACATACCTACTTTTATGCTGTCTATATGTTATCCTTTTGTGCCTGTTTAATCACTTTGTTGTTTGCTTTATTGCATTCTGTCTTGATCTGATTTTGGTGAGTTGGGGAGGATGGGCGATGAATACCTCCCCTATGAATTTGCTGCCCCTCACCCACCACCTCTCTTTTGGGGCTTGTGGTTTTGGTGTGCCACCCCAGGAGTATCAATGACCTCCATCTGGCTGCCCTCCCTTTAAAAACATTTTGGAGGCGCCCTTTGGAAGAAGGCAGGGAAGTTTGATGTTGGGTTGTTGATTTTTGTGCAATTTCCTAGCTCAGAGAGAAGCAGTTTTCATTCTTCAACTACTTGAAATTGTGTCTGTTTACATGACTTTTAACTTTAGAAAGGTTTTTCTTACAAATAGATCAATTAGATCGTTTCCTAGTCTACGCTGATTTCCAGTTTTCTAAGAGAAATGATCTGAGGAGCATAACAGATAAAACAGGAAATTGCTCCCAAGTTCTTTAGCAGAAATGACAGTCCTGAATCAAACAGCAATGAAGGAATATGAAGATGATCCCCATGTATGCAGCAAAGCTTGAAACAAGTCCATCAAACATGCTAATGATTGATGCGTTTACAATAAGGGGTTTTTGGAAGCTTTCAATGAATGGAAGAAAAAAAATCTGATCTGATAAATCAACATTTAGTCATTCCTGATGACAAGGTACAGCAACTTGTGGTTTGAATAACCTTTAAATGAGCACCATTCAGCTCATTCATTCACAAGGTGAAACATGACAAACCACACAATCATTCATCTGCAGCAGCACATGATGCAAAGTGACTCACTGTTACGTGTACATTTGGGAACGCTCTAAGCTCATAATTACAGACGCTTTCTTCAAACACTAGTTTCACTGACATGGATTGTTCTCTTTCTGTGTGATTTATTTCAGTGTGGAGACATATTGGTTTCTATTTCTTTTGGAATGCATTTTAATGGCATGTTCTATTGTAGCTGGATAATACAAGATCCTGCTGAGCTGTCTCAAAGTGTGAGGCACCCCCTTTCACTGCCCATGTTCATGTTTCTGTACATTTTAATAGTAAAAGGCAGTATTAAGTACAGCATCTAGATGAGAAGTGTTTGAGGTATTTCTGTCAGGCAGTAGCTTATCCGTCTTCTGTTTCCTGGCATCGCCTGGTGGTCTCTTAATGAAAATCTGCTTAAGCAGAGTGAATCCGACTCTAGAGTGGGCACTCTTTAACAAGCCTGCGTTGTGTCACAGATACTTGAGAGATGACGTGTCATTGGACGGTGGAACTTGTGCCACATAGAGCTCCAGCTCTTGAACCTTTTCAGTCTCTGATTTCCATCCAGCGTGGCAGTTGTCTCTGATGCGTCTCATGTTTAATGCAAATCCAGGTCCTTTTCTCATCCATTTACTCCCACTGTCACACTTCACACACTGCTGAAGCCTGTTGAATCAGCAGACTTTACCACTCTGCAGTCTGCATACTGAAGTACTGACTCAGAGAGGCTTTAAAGGTCTGTGAAAGATTCATGTCCTAACAGTTTTCCAGGCTGGACACTTTGCAGCTGTTGTTAAGTTGAAACTTGGTAGAAAACATGTGGTATCCCCGCATTTCCTCTAATCCGTATAATCAGCTCATGGCTTGCTTAGTCAAAACATGAATGACAAAGCACAGGGCCCCCAGTTTGAAGCAGGTTAAATGCCCCCTGCTGCCTACAAGACTGATGGCAAGTGTAAACAGTACAATCTCTGAGATTCAACGTCCAATCTGTCAGATCACACAGAGCCAGTCCTAAATCTGGATACTCCTTTAACCCTACAGACGTGTTTTACTGCTCATTAGTGAAAGAGCATTTCCTCGCCTCTCTTTCTTTGCTGCAAACACCTTCTGTAAAACCCCAAAAAGTTATAAATTCAACATCTTTCATGAATTTCCCACACTTAAAAATGCGTCACTAATAAATAATATCCTTTTTTTTTCCATGACATTCACAGCTGGAGTATCTATCAGCAGCCTTACGAATGGAGAGATCACTTGTGTCCGCTCTGAAACACAGAGTGGCCAAAAGAGGGTGGGGTTTTTGCTGTTTCATAATTCTTTAGTGCAACGGATTCATCGCTTACGTATTTCAGCATTTCTGAATGTGTGTTCTTGCTTTTCTATTCTGAACCTTGGACTCATTTTTACTTTATGGAGACATTTTTAGAGATCAGATTTTTTATTACCATCAAATGAATTTTTTAAATCCTTTTTACAAAATCAGATTACCCGGGATTACGGCCTGGAAGGGATGTGGTTTTTACTTTTTTTTTTTTTGTGCAGTTTTGTTGTGCAGGCACTAAACATTTCCTTCTGGTTACTCTGACTGTAATTCTGGTTTTCTTAGTTATCTTTTGCATTTATTTTAATTGATTTTTTTATTTTTTTATTTTGTATGTTTTTGATGTTTTATGGAGTTTGGCTATTTTATGAAAATAACTACCCTCCTCCTCTTTGGTTATTTTATGAAAATAACCAAAGAGGAGGAGGGTAGTTGTGGTTTAGTCATCTGGTTGTGATGCCTCCTTATCTCCTTTCTATTGAGTGTTTCATACTGTAATGAGTTTCCAGGTAAATAAAACACTGTGCTGAGTTTATATGCAAAATAGACGGAGAATTGTTTTTGGATCCTCTAGGAAAGCTTTTTGCCAAACCCTCCCTTATGTGAAGTTCTTTTTTTGTATTTTTTTCAGCTGTCTTTTTTTTTTCAACTCATTCATTAATATGGATTGAAATTGCAATAGATCCAATTAATGTTCAGTTTCAATTCATATCAAGCCAGTTCTTCCCGATACAATCCATCCATGTAAAAAATACTCAGAAAGTGCATAGAATCTGATATAATCTAATATTAGACAGTCATTGTACCATCAGGGTGAGTTTATTAAATAAATTAATTTATTTAACCATTA